GGGCAAACCAGAGCACGGAATCTGTGAGCCACTCCAGAGTCAGAGCCAAGTGATCCGAAATCTAATGATGTAAGGAGATGAGGAGGCTTCGAGGTTTTGAGCAGTGGAGGTGGCATTTCCGCAACGCGTTTATTGAGGCTTTCTTCATGTAGGAGCAACATGAAGCAACTTGCACAGTTACTTTCACCATCTTCTTTAGCTCATCTCACTAAAATGACAGAAAACCAAACGTGTACCTTAAGACTGTTTTCTAAGAAAATTTTACACACACAAATCCATGCAAAATATATAATGCACACCAATCATAAACAATTTGAAAGAAAACAAGAAATATTATTTCAAACATCACAGATTATATTTTTACCTATAGTAATGAACTGGGCCAGTAGCTATTGACAAGCTCCATGAAATGTGAGGTTGGCTGAAGCAATTTGCCCTAACGGTTCCAGGCCTCATGGGGCTCCATCTCACCATCACTACTGAAATCCAGACATGATCCAGGAGCGAGGTCAGGGCACAGAAAACAGATCAGAGATCCAAAACACACTATGACAAATCCGATAGGGTTCAAGGAGCCTCAGAGAATCAGGAGGCAGAAGCGGATCAAAATCAGGTAGGCAAACATGTAACAGGAATGCTGGATTAAACTCTCCAATGGCTTTTAATAATCTGGCACTAGTGACTGGCGTTAATTCTGGTTATATATTCAGGAGAATATGTGGAGCTGATGAAGGCTGATTGGGAAAGGGGCTGAGCTGACAGGTGTGTTGAATGATGAATTAAACCAGCAATAGTGCCAAGAATCATGACAATTAATCATCATTCGGTACTTGGTATTGGCCTATTACATGAAAAAATTATAAAACAAGTACATTGAATTTCTAATTGTTTTTTTTGTTTGTTTTTTTATGGAGACCTTTCTAAACCTTTGGTAAATTCATCTTAAACTCTGAGGTTTTCATATGAAAAAGTGGAATACGCTTGCACATAGTTTGCAACTGTCTGTTTAAATTATTTACATAGTATGCATGTAAACTTAATTGCCTTTGCAGGTCTAATATATCCATAAGCAATTTATAATATGGACATTTAAAGGACACCTCCATGACCCTGCTTTCTTTTCTGTTGCGCTCTGTTTCTGCTCTGCTCTTTAACCACTCAGTGATACATTATTATGCTCCCGTTTAAGGAGATCCTGACATGTCATAAGTCTTGGCCCCACAGCCTAGAGTGCTTGGCAAGAGAGCAGCCTGTGATTTATTTTCCCTTTCCATGGGACCTAAAGTCTGCCGAGAGCACCATAAGAGGCAGGGTGGCATGTAGGAACAGAAGCAAGACTGAGGGTGGTAAAAAGAAAGTGAGGCAGTAACGATGGGGATGAGGGCAGAGCGTGTGAGCCTGCGTGTGTGTTTGAAATGTTTTTGGCAATGCCATGTGATGAATTAGGTGGGATGATAACTTTGTGTGGAAATTACTAATCGTTGAACAAGAGCAGGTTCTTGATCAAAAGCCAAAGCTGTTAAGGGATTACTCACTTTTGTCCCCGAGGACATCTTAGATGTTTGATATCAGATTTAATGTGGCTAAGTCTTTTTGGCTTTCTTTTAATCAAGTATTTGCACCATGCTTTTGTTCAAAAGGAGAACTTATAAAAGCTGCTTTGTTGCTCAATCTATTCAGTGAAACTTTACTCCCCTTCTCCATTTTCTAGCAAAGAGCAGGAATGTTTTTTTTGCTTTGTTTCTGTACAGACAAATTATTCTCAGTCACCCCTAAAAGGGAGCCCGTAGAATTTGATGGCAGCAGTCAAAGCAAATCATGTAAAAAGATTGTGCTTAGCAAACATTATACATTTTAGCTGCACTTTCACCTTTCAAGGTGAAAGTGATATGATACCTTCTTGAAACCAAGAAGGTATCATTGAAATTTGCTGGTTAGTTACACCATTAGCTCTAGTAATTCATCTGCGACTTTACTGTTGTGGAAAGCATGTTTGTTTCATAATCCTTTCAATGCTTTATCCTTGAGGTGATTTTAAAAGTGTCAAAAATATTACTTAGCATTAGATCACCACTGAACTACTGGTAAACTGATTTTCCTGTTGGATATCCTATTATTAATTTTATTTTAAATTTACAACAGAGCAAAAATAAAACAAATTTTGAGTACTTTTCTTCTTAGTTTCTTCAAACACACTATGATTTAAAATTCAGTTTTAGATTAAAAAAATGGGAGGCAAGATTTAATCATTTCAATGAGATATTTTTTCATAACTCCAGGCATAAAGTGTCTACTGAATGTTGTATATAAATGCAAACAATATGTATTTCTTGCCCTTAAGTGTTTTCACAGTATTTGCACAACTACAACTACAACTTTTAGCTCATAATAGTAAGCTGAGAATTTAACTTGCATTCAGTTATTTCACAATTTCATTGTATCATTAGCTATTTATATATTATTTATTCAAAGATCTATTTGTTTAATTTTAAACATTTTATCATTTCATTGATTTTAAAGTAATGTTAAGCTTGCAGTTGTGCTTTTTGAACTTCTGCATGGTTTTCAAAGCTTTAGAAAGGTTTTAAACTAATCTTGGATCTCCGGATAATGGTTTCTCTGTTGTAGTTTTTAAACAATAATGAATTTTACTGAGAAATATCAAAGGAAAGGATGCTAAATGCAAAGGAATGGATAAGTTTATATCATATGAATTAGAAAACCATGTATCTGTTTTTTTTCAACCAAGAAATTATAAACTTTTGTACATTAACATTTCTATTTGAAGCATTACAAAGTATAAATACCACTTATTTGTTGAACCTTTTTATTTATTTATTTATTTTTTCAGTTGTTGGGGATTTTGGCCACCAAAATATATTCTGTAAACTATGAAGCAGCAAAAATATGACTTGCTTAATATTTATTTCTAGAAGCTAATTATAACAGTAAATACAGGAACTGAGTGAAAAAAACATCATCAGCTATAACCGGGAGATGCTAACTTGGCTTGTTTTTTAAAAGTTTTTCTTTGAAATCATAAATTAAAAATTGAAGCATGTTATGTTGTGCAAAGCTTGACATGCATACTTCATCTCTCAAGTGTGTTAGGTAATCTCACTGATGCAATGTTGTTTTTGCAATTTAAAAAAATTCCACAGTCACACTTTTTGAAGAATTAACAACATTTGTACATTGGTTTTGTTTTACTATATGCAGTGAATATTCTCATCTTTTACGTGAGATTTTTGCCAAAGGTTGAACTAAAAAAAGCTTTGAATCCATATGCAGTTCTGTATTAACATACAACATGATTTCAATCTAAACTGAACTAGGTCCTATTTTTTCTGAAGTTATTCTTCAAACCCATCCACTCTGTGAGCCACCATGCACTCAAAAAGGCAGCTACATTTTTGCATCTTCCTATATGATGATGATGTCAAGACTTGTTTGACATCCTTTTAAATATCACTATGATCCATGTAGCTTAAATGGAGGCTGATCTCCTGCAGGTGTCTCTGTGGGTCAATGCAAACTGTTTTCTCTGTTTGAGACTTACTGTATTTGAGGTAATGGACACTGTCAGGTCTGTGTCTTGTCCCTCCGGTAGTTTCATTTGTTCTCAGTCTGGACTCTCTCCCTGTGGCCTCTTACACATTGTCTTCAGCTTATTAGATTTCAGTCCAGGCCCTAGCAACAACAAAACATTTACACCAAGGCACAAGGGCTTTCAATCAGCACAGGCCATTCATTAGCCTACTGTTTGTTGGATATTTCATGGAGAAAATGGAGAATTGTTGATAGAGAAGAGGAGCAAGGTGACAAGCATCCTGAGCCAGCTGCTGCTTCTCTGTCTGCCCACCAGGATTCAACACCCAGCCTCTGCTATCTGGGCTAGCTGTTTGCAGACTGTCAAACTTCATTGTTAATACAAAAAGACACAATGGAATGAGGTCTTGTTAGTCTGCCTTCAGGGCATTTTCTGGTTGGGAAAATGTTTTCTTACAATGTGCATTTTGTTATGCAATAGTGTTGTTCTGCATGTGAATTAGGTTAACGACAACCTGAGGTCTCACACATCTTAAACAAGCAGTCATGATATCTTGCAACAGTGTGGTATTATTTTTTCACTGTTGAAGGTCGGCTCTGATCAATAAAATCTGGAAAGTTTGGCATGCATTTGTATCCAGCCTGCCTGATTTAATAGTTTTCTTTATCTCCCAGTAATGTTCTGTATTAAATGCAATCCATCCGCCAATTAACTCTGTGCAGTTTAACAATTCAAGATGAAGAAAATCATTTCCACAGCAGGAGCATTGTGTTTCACTGTGGGGTTTTTTTTTAGAGTGTTACTTTTCTGCAGCACATAGTTTCATGTAGGTCAAAAGGTACATTGTTGGTCTCCTCTGACCAGTTCTCTTTACTTGATGTTTGTTGTGTCCAGCAAACCACTTGTGACAAATTCAAAAGGAGATGTCCTTTAGTTTTAACTTAACAATTACACTCTTTAAACTATAAGACTCTTGTTGTTTCTTTTAGAGGTCAGTTTTGGGAAAAGCATAACTCATAGCTGGCCTGTTCATCTCTGCTCCAGAGTTAGCATAAACAGGACATATATGTCTATTATCATATTTTTACATATTTTGCATATGCTCATTGCAATTTTAATTTCAAAGAGCACTAAGCCAAAAAAAGGAAAACTTATTTACAACACATAATATCTAATTTTGGGTAGAGCTCTGCACAACTGTAAACCATGTTGCAGGACATAATAAAAATGATTATACGTTATACATATGGATAGATATTTTAATGCTTAGATGATAAAACGTTTGGGAACCTTTGAGATAAGAAGTATGACAGCAGCTAAAATTGTTGTGTTAAAAAAAAAAAAAACCTGTTAAGAGCAGTTTGACCGCAGTGGAAGTCTGTGAGAACTTTTTGTTGTAGCTAGATAATGTGGTAAACTGGCAATAATTATGACCTTCTTTTCTCCTCAGATTGCTGGATTTATTAACGCCATCGATCCATTCCCTGAAGGAGACGAAAAAAACCTGTTTGCTTTCCGCTTTTACTCTTTAAATGCCATCATGGATCCCTGGGTTTTTATCATTTGCCGTAAGTCTGTGTTTCGTCACCTTTGTTCTCTGCTGAGCTGCAGATTTGGCAAAGGAGCCATGAAGACAACGACACACTGTGCTTTGTCTCTACCGCTTGATAACTCCATAGCTCGCAACCCGTAAATAAAGGAGCTGTACTTAATGGCAAAATGGACGCCTTACCACAAGCCAGAGGACTCCTTAGCTGGAAGGATGAAGAACTACAGAAGGAGAGACTATCTCATCCAAATAAATGGTTTAACTAATCTCTGAAATTAAAGGGATCATGAATGTACAGTTTGTATTCAAAGTCAAATGATATTCTAAATGTGTTTCAACATCCTTTAACACTGCAAAAGGGAGTTGTGCCATACAGCAAAGCCCAATAAATTTGTTTAGTTATGCTTCTAACCATATCAAAGGTGCACTTAAAAAAGCAGCGTGGAGACTTAACTTGCATGGCTGTATACCATTGGTCTCCTCACAACCAGCCATTTCCTGAACACACACACAGTAAGTAAATTATGCATAATATCAGTTAAGGGTCACTTGAAGCATTTTACCTCATAATCTAGCCATCATCAGGGATCAGTGACTTTCGCCTTAAGAGTTTAAAATGTCTTAACCCAAAATCAAAGCTCAATTCTGCTTTAGTTCATATAATCTGCTATAGGCTATGTCAGATTCTGTGTGTTTATGTTGCACCATGTGACAAATAATATCACTTCATGAAACCTGAAGAGAAAGGTAAAATTAATTCAACCATCTAAATTCAGTCAGATTTGGTTATATACCATAGCTTATGGCATAACTGCTTTTTGCAAGCCTGTTCTCTTCTGACCACAGAGGCTAATAGGGTCACGCTTGGTTAGCACATGAATGAAACCACCTTGGATGCCAAGTACTGTACATACAATCCACATTGATCTTAGCTTTAATGGACTGCAGACTCATTCCGTGTATAAAGGGTTTTTCTATTAAATGAACCTCGTCTGATTGCATCCTGTGGTTAAGAGTGAAAAGCTTAACTTGTGCTTTTGGCCATATACTAGTATCAGTATGGGCTGTAGTAATATTTTGGAGCGAGTGTTAATCTTACACTTCTTCAGGGTCAGAAACAATTACGCTGTTTACAGAGATATTATTTCATTAGATCTACTTCTAAGGTTTGATCATGAACTTAAATGTTTACTGAATTTGTATTTTAAAATGGTACCTACCTTAGAAATTGCATACCATTCTATGTAATCACCTTTTTGTTCATCTCACAAAGTTCACTCATTGAACTTCCATCAATTTCATCTTTTATGCTTGTAAAAAATTTTTTACCATTTCAAAGCTTCAAATATAAAAAAAAAACTGTGATAACAACAGTTAATTACCAATAATTATTTACTTTAGGGACAAAATGTGATTTTTTTTCAGGATTAAACAATTTCAATGCTAAAACATAGGAATTAATGATTCAAATTATTTTTATCATTGGGAATAATTTACCTGGGTGTCATTGGTAACAAGCTCTGTTTTTTTTTTTCTCAGGGCATAGTTAGTTAACTATTTATAGTTAAATCAAAGATATATAAGTCAATCTAATATGTCCAATACCTGCTTTCAAAAAATAAACTATACTGAAACCATTTCAACATAAAACAAGTTGATCTCCACATTTCATTATTTGACTCTTGTTGAAAAGTCAACTGCCTAATGAAAATAATGTACAAATGTTTTGGTACTGCTGTTAATCTCTGGTCCTTTTCCAGCCTTGCTTGTCAGTTCCAGTTGTTTAAAACTTGTTAGTTCCTGATCTGACTGTAGATGTTGTCAAATGTGGTTGATTAATTAATACCTTGTAGTCTTTTCCTGATTTACAAAAGTCAATCCACTTCTACCTTTCTGAATTGGGTTTGTTTTCCTGTTTTTCCCATTCTGAAGAGTTTCTATGGGTAGAAATTGGCCTCTGAGTTATATCCCTATCCCATGAAAACAGGAAGATATGGATTTTAATTATGATAAAATCCTTATTTCAGATTACTCTTTTCAACTTGGAACAATAAAATACAATTTACAGGAGAACGTATGTAACAGCTTCCCAGGAATTGTTAAGGGTGTTAATACCCTGGGGTCATAATTTTTTAGATAACTATTTCTTAATATTAAAATGATACACTGAAGAAATTTTCTCCTTAGTTTATCCTTAGGTGATTGTTAGGTTTTATTGATAAAATATGTAAGTTGCTTCAAACATAGGTGAGTAAACCTTTTAAACTTTTCAGTTTAAGAGTTTTTACACCTGTATAAGGTATGAGGCCCTTTTTTTTTGCTGATTGAACATAAGAACAGTGTTTGACAAACTAGCATGATTAAAAAAATGTTTTAATAAATAATTTGAACCACTTTCTGCATATAATTTTGAAAAGAAAAAAAAAACTGAAAAAAATCCTGAATGAAAAACTGAAAAAGTTGGTGTACAGAAATAGATCATTAGTATTTAGTCATACAGCCTCTACAGGCAGTGAATAATGATTGTATTAGAAAACGTTGCAGGAAATTTTAATCTTTTCTCTTGCAGCAAAAAGGCCCTGGGTTTAAATAATGGCTGTAGGCATATCTGTGAAGTTTGCATGTTCTCTTAATGAATTAATGGGGTTCCCTTAAGGTCGTCTGCCTGGTATCCTCATACCATCAGAAACATCTATGGTATGTTAGCCTAACAGGCTGCTCTGAATTTCTATTTGGTGACATGTTTGCATATTTGTGTGTTTGTTGCCATCTAACCGACTGATGACTTGCTACAATTAGGCAGGTATACAAATTAGGGTAACACACTAGTGCATTTTTTTTTTTATTGATGCAGAGTAAATCCCAACTAATAAAGTTTTTTTATGTCCCTGGTAATGTAGTGAAATTTGTTTTGATGCCATCTTGGTGAATTACCACTGTAGAGGAAATGTAGTGTAACGCATAGTATGGCCATTGTATTAAATGCACAGTATTTCACTTTACCCTTTCACTGATTTTAAAGCTACCTAAAATGATTGGGGAAATCTGCTGCTTTTTCATGCACTGTGACAATTGATCATTTGTGGAATTTATGTTTTTTTATTTATTGTTCATCGTGCTGTCATAAGTCATGTTTTTGATTAATTCAGCATTCAGACACCTATTGCTTTTGCCCAGTCATGCATGACATTTGAAATTTGTAAATATATACATTCTATTGCACATTTTCATCTTGAAGTGTAATTTGTTCAGTTCACAAAAATAAATGGAGCATTGCATAAAATGTATTTGCACTTGTTTTTTGTTTTTTTTAATTCTTGTGGAATAAAAAATGCTCATGAAAAACGTCCTGAGTTTTCTTTTATAATGGCTTTGGAACCATAGAAGTGTTGCCAGAAAGACCAACATTCTTTATATGCATGTTTATGAGTGTTGTAAATCAGGTTCTTTGTTATCCAAGACAAGTATGCAATAACTTCAATTTTATTTGACAAACACTTTACAAAACCATAACTAATGTTTCAGGAATTCTTAAAAAGTCAAACACTCTACACCTCATCTTTTAACTAATGCAATCTTGTCCTAAACATCAGATCAGTAACATAACAAAAGAACTGTTAAACTTGACAGTATCTCCTTCAAATACATCACATTGTGTTGCCCATGCAGAGGTAGCTGGTAGAGCTGTAGCACCACCAAGTGGTAAACCAATGTAGACATGAAGTCTAAAGTTGTGAATCAGAGGGGCTCATAAATAATAGAATCCCATGCTAAATTCTTTACAGAAGTTTCTTTGCATTTTCTTGAAGTAAAGTCAAAATGGCACATAATTCTGAACTAAATGGGTAAAAATATGTGATTGTTTTCAATCTTTTTATTATGAAACCCATTAGGAGCCAACCGATTAGTAAACATATTCGCTGTTTGCAGCTTAATCCCAGTATAAATAGAGCCATTAGGTGAAGACCTCATATTTTTCGGAAGATTAGAGTTATGTAGGAAATATGTGCACTGGTCAAATGAAGCTAAAATGAACCATTCTAAGAGTTAAGGTACTGTCAGGAGGAGCAAGTTATATAGGCCTATATTCTTATGGCACATGGTAATGGCAGCATCATGCTGTAGAGTTACATTAGGGGAAGGGAAATTAAATACCAAAAGAAAGTTATGTTTTCCTCTTCCACTTAATTTGCTTTAATGGACTTTTGCAGGGTTTGTATTTTACCTTTAGACAAAATAGAGATGGGTAGAAAAAAAAAAAAAAAACACAAATCAGTTGCAAGAATTTAATTGGTGACCAACATCACATTGAGGATTAGAAGTAGTTATATCTAAGTCAAATATGGAAGGATGTGATTTGTTAAAACTAGCTGAGGGAGATAAACTCTGATCTAAAGCCAAATGAAAACATTCAGCAATATTTCAAACAATACTGAAGTATGATTACTATGATTCATAGACCTGCATATTAATTCACACGTCATGATTTCAGGTTTGGCAAGATCTTTTCTTGGTTGCTTGCACTAATCTCAGACCACCAAAAGAGCTGAATGCGACCCCGTTTTTTTTTTTTTTTTTTTCTTAGAAATATGCACAGAGTTTATTTCCATGAGAACTATCAGCATAGCTGTGTTTACATGCACAAAAATATTCACATGACATTTACTTCTTTGACTTCCTCAATCTTTTTTTATAAATAAGTCATTAATAGATTAACTTTAGGAGGTGAAGAAACAACTACAGTAGACACTCAACATGACGCAGATACCACAGCACTTGTTCCAGAAGTTTAAAAATCCTCCATTTGCCCATGACGGCATTCCTGATCATTTTATCTCAACACTGCTAAAGTGCTACGAATATCCTCCTGGTCTAAACAGCTTGATGACTAGAGCTTCGTAAGGCAGCAGTTTGACAGAGTACAGAGAGGTCGACCCCATGTGGTTCATTCCTGTGCTAGCCACATAGACCCCCTTTTCAGGCAGGCTGGCAGCCCAGGATGGGTCCAAGGATTGAGGCTCAGGCCAGACATTGAGCAGAACAAGAAACTGCACACAACCCCAGGAGCGCAAGAAGGCCAAGATGGGAGGGGAGGAAACAGAGGAGTTGGAAAGTGAGCTTGAGGAAAAGTTGGTGGTTGTATTAAAGGGGAGGAAGCTTAAGCTGCCAAAAAGGAGGGCTTCTTCTCTGGATTTGGAGTGGCTGAGTGTAGAAAAAAGGGCAACATCGGAGTGTTTCTCATCCTGAAGGTGGAATGAAGGAGACACATGCTAAAACATCAGAAAACTCAGGATATTACAAAGGATTCTGAAAAAACAGTGAGAGTGAAAATATGTCAACATTTCTCTTTGCTCTGGAGGCATAAGAATTCGCCTCTTTCCATTAGCATTATTCTGTTTTACATCCTTTGACTCAAAATCTTACCAAGGTTTGCTCCATCTCCTTATATTTGAAAGCAGGTGATCCTGGTAGAGTCATCATTAGCACCAGGACTAACCTCTTCAGCTCATCAGATACTTCACCTCCAACCTGCAAGCAATAAAGAGGGTTATTGTACACCAAATTCAAAGGACTTAGAAATCCTAGTTTCCTAAACAAATTTTACATCCCTTTTAAAGGTCATTACAGTCATTCAATTTGTGAGGTGGAATAAGTTTAAGTTAAAATACAAGGAAAGACAAATAGGTTTTGTTTGCCTTTTTTTATTACATGGACACAAAGCACCCAAGGCTAAAATAATCTGCAGTCTTTGGAAAATACTTTATATAATTTTTTCCTCCGTTTGCAGCATCAACCAACTTGGCCTGCATCCTCAAAGCCACAATGCTTAACAGCTTTTCATTACACAGATTCAGATTAGATATTTGCATTTCAAACATATTTAAATTAGCATCCTTTCTCAGCTGTTTTGTTTGCAGTTTAGAAAAGTTTAACCCATCTTTGATAGATGGATTAGAAAAGAATTATGATAAACATTTCAGGTTGGACCGCGCTAGAGCCGTTACCCCAACTGTCTGATGTTGGTCCTGAGAATCCTTTAATATGAGGAGTTACTGATTGGAGCTCATGACCACAAATAAGCCCAAACCATCCACTTTCTGCCACCGTGTTCAACAGGTGAATATTAAACACTTGTGATGTCTTCCATTCTGACATTTCTGTGCACCAGCAGGTGTATCTGAATAACACTTTATATAAACAGGTCCTACCCAATATAGCTAGGATCTTCTCTGGTGCAACAGTGGATGTTTGGATTATAGCTTTAGTTTCCCCACCAGAACCAGTAAACTAGGAAAGGGTTCTCCAACTGCAAAAAACTGAAATCTAATGTATTTTTTTCTTAAAATAAGTAAATTTTTTTCCTTGAATAGAGGTGGTAAATGATACACTTTGGAACAAGACAATTTACATTTAAAGAAAAAAAAAATTGCAATTCTAATTGAAATTCTTATTTCAAATGCATATTATCTAATTATCTTATTTTAAGAGTAAAAACACTCATTCCATTGGCAAATCATCTTATTTAACTACTCAAATTAAGGGCAAATACGCTTAATTTAAGAAATTTTTACTTATTTCTATATTGTTTTTGCAGTGCAGGAGATGCACTGCCCTGGTACTTTTTGGTACATCCCTGCTTCAACACAGATTTAAATGACTGATCATTTCCTTATGTCATTAAGTTTGATAAAAGCCGGGCAGCAAGCCATCCGTTTGTTCGTGGTTTGCTGGAGTAGAAAAGCATCCAAACTGCAGAGCAGTAGATCGAGAACTGGAGTTAAAGACCCCAGGACAGAGAGCTAATATATACATTCACTGTGTCCCAAACTACTGTGGTTAATTCAAAAAAAAAACTATGCAAATCTGGTCCTCTGTGAGGTAATAATACTTGGGCTATGTTTAACCGATCCTATCGGCTACAGCTGCAAAGACTTAAAAAAAAATTAATTTCAGTGCACCAGCTACCCAAACACACAAAAAAGTTTTTAAAGCTACCATACACCAGAGCATTTCCCTGCAACTTTCAGATGTCTTAACAGTACCTCATTGTATTCAGGTGTGTTAGGACTGAGACATCTAAACATTTTAGCTCTGAAGGACTGAAACTGTATTTACCAGACCTAAAGACACAGAATTTTAATAAAAAAAAAAAAAAAAAAAAAGTCTTACAGTCCAGCTGATCCAGACGTCATCCTGCCACGTTTGCAACTTCGTCTCTATAGCTTCAGCTACTTCCTCAGAAGACAGAGGCTGCTGTGACTTTGGCAAGATGGTCTTGAGGACCACATCTACCAGCGTGCCATTGCTTTGAGTCGAGACATTCAGTGGATGCAGAACATCTAACGTCTGTCTTAGCAACAATATCCTGCAGGGAAATATGGATTTGCATATTCATTTACTTACATATTTGCCATTTAAAAAGAAAATAAATAGAAGTGTAAAGCTAATTTTACCTTTCATCCTGCGGAGTACTGAATTCCTCAAACACTCCTCTCCATTCTAGTAGTGTCTAAAATGATTAAAAGGGACACATAAAATAAAGAAAACAATGCTTTTATAAAGAATATAAAGATAGATAAACATGCACATTTACCTCTACTGAATATGCTGAATCAGTGTCGCAGATAACAAATCCTGCAACACCTTCATCCAACCAGAACCTTAAAACATCCTGGGGAAAAATGTTAAATAGTTTCATATATTGGTTACACAACTCATTACATGAGCATTACTGTCACACATACAGTAGCTGAACAGTTTGATGAGGTGTTTAAGTTTCTAAACATCTCCGACCGCCCTGGCAGATTCACTTCACATATGTCCAACACCACTCTTAGATCTGAAACACCAATTCTTATTGTTAAAATGTTAAAACTTCAGATACAGTGAACAGAAATTGTGTATCGCCCCTCACCTGATTTTTTACTTTCTGCAAGCAGATGTTGAACCTGAGCCTTTGTTTCTAGGTTTTCAGTGAGATTTTCTGGAGATGAATTTTCATGAAACGCACCCTGCAGGATTAGAGCTCCTACACCCAAAGACCTGAGGTAGGGGAGGCGCTCACATGCTTCTACAGACAAGACAAAGACATGCTAATGATTACCCAAAACAGAACTGCTGTGTCCAACAGTCTTAGAATGTGTATATCGAGTAGTGAAACAACAAAGGTTTGCTTGTCAGTTAAATTTAAGTAGACATTTAGCCTCATTCACTGTAAAAAGGACACCCTCTATGTATTCTGAAGTTCTATGTATTTGATTGAATATTTAATATAACATAGCCAAAATTGGTTGGACCAACAATCTATGAGATCTTATTTACCAAACTAAAGACAGAAGTCTCTAGTAGTTGGAGTAAACTCCACATTTAGCAGGATCTTGAAGTAATCATCTAATCTCTAAACCTTATCGGTCTGAATCACACAATGTGCAGAACTTTGACCCACTTTTGTAGAAAACTTTGCCTTGGTTTAACAGGGTAGGGTTTTTTTTGTTTTGTTTTTTTAAATACACAGCTCTCATACAGAGCTCTCCCTACATTTCACTGAATAAGTTGTGATCATTTATTGCACTTTTTGGATTGCTTCAGAGTTTCTTTTAGCCATTGTATTGTAGATGCGCTTCATCTGAGCTCCAGTCTTTACACTTTAAGCCTTAAAACCAAGACCATTTTATCCCCTAAATGAATGGATTTTAAAATCATTCACACTAGAATAATACCGTAATTAGGTTTATGCAATCATCACTTAATTGAATATAAATTTTAATTTTGAACATTGGAGAAAATAAACCTGAAATGTAGTCAGGTTTAGAAACAACATGCATAAATAGATATATCTGAAATCTTTTCATTTTTGTAGATTTTTTTTTTTCAGGCTACTGACACTTATCTGCTAAGAGTAGATTAGAGTCAGTCCTTTTTAGAACCTTTAAACTGATTTACAATATTTCTATAAAATTAATCCACCATTCAGACCCTTTAAACTATGCAACAATGTCCAAACATTAGATTACTAGAGGATGAAAAAAATTATTTGAATATTGAAGATCTCCAAGTAACTGAAATGGATAACCAACATTAGATGCAAAAAAATAAAAAAAAAGGCCAGCTCCTATTATATTAACAATTGTTAAGAGTTTTAATATAATTCCGCAGAACAATGGAATAGTCAACTCAATTACTTTTTCTATGAGTAAAGTGTTTCTTTGTTTGGAGATGAACTATTCAGAAAATAAAATTATTTCATCTTACCTGAACTGGCCCCAAAAAGTTTGAAAGGGGCCCAATTTTTTTCTTCATCACATCACTGAAGCCAACAATAATAAATTGTTTTTTTTGTTGTTGTTTTTTTTCTGAACTCTAGTCAATTTTGTATTTTTGACATATTTATTTGTTTTTATTCCATATTTACCTTGACTTATTCCCTAGCACTTACCATTGATGCCCTCTGACCTCTCAGCCTGCAGGTCCGAGCTCATCTCAAGCTTAATGTGGTAAAACAGACATTTCTGCCACCATCTCAGTGACGTGGGAACCGGTTTCGGGCTCACGACCACGATGGCAACAGCGACCGCCAGCATGGCTATCCAGGCGAGCCAGAAGAGCAGCACTAGGTAACAACGTACAGCCTTCCAGCCTGACCCTCCAGCGGCCGCCTGCAGCTGCTGCTTGTTCATAGGCTGCCACTCATAGACAGAGTCCGGGGCGAGCAGCGGATCCGTCTCCGAGGCTCCCTCACCGCCCGGCAGCCCGGCGCCCGGTACGCTGCCGTAACCCGCCTCTGCTCCAGCGTTCAGAGGCATGTTGACCAAGCTGCAGGTCGAAGACACAAAGAAAAAAAATGACTGAATGAGATAAAGTTCACATAAAACCTCTGTGGGCCTGGGGCTTCCCTCACCTGCTTTCCACAGGTGATTTAATCAGTTAATTAACTCACTGAGCTGATCACATGATTCACACCAGCCCTGTTACCCCACTGACAAAACACTGTTTCAAGGTTAGTTCGCTCAGATTTAAAGAAAACAAAGTCTCACTTAGACTATTTATGCACCTTTGCATGTTTTACTTGATCAACTCAAAATTATCAGCAAAAATTTGAACAAAAAACAACAAAAAAGTTAAAACAATAACCATAAAGTCAAACTAAAATGGCCTAAAAACTTTCAATTTATCACAAATATGAAATAATTAAATAAAGTTGAAGGAATTTCAATACGAAAATGTATTCAGCATTGATATTTTATTCATAAAACACACTATGTAGAAGATAAAACTTCCAAAAAACATATAAGTAACCTATTAACTGAATATTAAAACAACATAAATAAATAAAACAAACTAAAAGCTAAAGTATTTTAACTACTTGGTATTATTGTAAATAGATAATAACTGAAAAGTTCATTGAATGTACCAATACTGTACTTTTCAGGTCACAAAGGCTCTCAGAACTGTAATATTAAAGTCATGCTGTTGACACAGTAAGTCTTTCAACACAGCCTCTCAGTTCAGCAGAAGTAGTGAAGATTTTGACCTTTTCTATCCTCTGCTAAATCAGCAAGCGCTGCATGTCTTAAAATAAAACATTTGAATAATACTTACATTTTTCTCCAAAACGTTCTTGTGCTTTCTTCTCCTTCCTGTTTGTTGTCCAACACACTGTTTCCAATTTTGCAGAACTTCACAGTTATCTTTATGATCTGACTGGTCAGGATTGTGAAAGGCAAGAGGAGGAGTTGTCAAATACAAGCTCAGTTAATTAATACAGAGGTGCAAAGCCTTCCTACACCACTGCAACACATTCTAAAGCCCTTGTGACTGTTAAACATAGCTCCCTGAAGACCATAATGGGCTGCAGATGGCTTTAAACAGCCGTGGTGTATTTCTAGCAGTGTACTGAGAAAAAAAATTATATTAATTTGAAATATTTTTTCCATCTTATTTGGCTTTGCATGTTTTAGTTCAGGCTGTTTTGTATAGGTCATGTTCTGTGGTTGGAAATTTAAATATATTCGTTTTGAGCATAAAACTTGTGCTGCAATGTTTGCGTTTATTGCTGATGTTCTTTAATCCACATAGGGTTGTTTCTAAGAAATATTAAACATAGTTTCTTTTTTTCTTTTTTTAAGAATAGTTAGGGTGAGACTTCAGAACTTTAGAATATCATAACAGCTCTTAACCATGGTGGTGGCAGAATGATAATGTGGGATTTATTTTGTTTTTCCTCCAAATGCTGTACTGGTGTGTTGCGTGAAGTGAGATGCATAATTAGACAGATGACCTACCCTCAAAATGTTAAGCCTTCTCTGTTATTGTTGTAAAAAAATACCTTAAAATCTGGTCTTAGAATGAATAAAGCAGGCCTATGTTAACTTTTTGCAGGCTTCTAACAGTGATGGGCTGTGACAGCATTTAAGGCCTTCACTGCTGGCCTAAAATCAAACAGAAACACTAACCTACATTCACAACCTAAACTTTAATTTTCTTATTTCCAACTGTATTAATTTATTCCACACAATCCATTCTATTAATTTTGTTGTGTTTTTCTTGGCTGCACTGCTTCCATTAGAATTATGTGGTTGCTATATTTTTTTGTCTAATCAGATACCAGCCTCTTTGTGTTACTATGTCAATGGAATCTGCCCAGGGCCTTCAGAATCAGCCATGCTGGCTGATCTTACCTTAACAATACTTGTGAGAAACTTGTTGCAGAGCTGTGGTTATAAAGCCGAAGATTGTGGTTGTCTTAACTGGGCTTCTTGCTTAAAGGTAAAGTGGAGGATGTTCTTTTTTTCAGGTGGATCATCAAAATAAGTCGTCCTCCTAATTGTCAAACGTTCTGGTGATATATTTAAATAAGGCCGTCCTACCTGCTCGTCCCCATTTTCACTTATAGGTTGTAAGTCTGAAGTAGCGAAAAAATTGAAAATCTTATATTGGAAAGTAAGCTTGTATGAGCGATGCAAACAATAAATTTTAAACAGAGAGTGCCAAAGGAGACATGGGCTAATGCAGTCTATGGCATGCATTCAATAGGCGTTCACTCTCTAGAGCAGGTGCAGGGTTGTGCATGTCCACTTTTTTTTTTTTTAAGTGGAGAGGGTGGATCCTTTCAGAAATTCTCGAAAATCCTCCACTAGACCTTTAATTGACCT